CGATGCTGGTGACGGAGTCTGAGCTTAATGAAAACCCCAATGCGGTGCCATGGTTGTAAATGGATATGTATATAAATATATATATAAATATATATATATATATATTTATATTTATAAAGAATATACGTAGAAAGAGAAAAAGGGTGCAAGTCTATGCCACCACTTTCTCTAATAGTAAAACTCATCGCTCATACAATGTGTTGAAGACTTGAACGTATTACTTCCCTTTATAGCATCTAGTATAAACATAATGCTATTATATTTGAAATGATAATTCTTTCCCACCAAAGTTGATCAAGTTAGAGTCCAAATATGCTAGTTCTATTTTATACACATATACAGATATTCATGTAAGTATCTATCCTTTCCTATATATATATACATATATGTATAGATATAGATAAAGGTAAATTGATAGATCGATATATGTCCATATCAATATAGATACAGTATGTATTTGTACTTGGGCTAGCTATACCTTACTCTGTACAGTTCATTTTCCGGACCCCAACTATTAATTATTTAGGCTGAACTTAATAAATATAGAGAAGTACTTATTTTTATTGTATTGTTTGATTGCTCTGCTATTTTGGCGCAGCTAATATTAAGGAATATATAATAATTTTTTTAATGAAGTAATTCTTCACTTTTGTTGTCGACTTTTTTTTATTCTAAGTACATAATAATGGAAACCCTTTCTTTAGGATGATGTTGAAATATAATTGTGAGTACTAGTTAATTATAATTTGTGGTCCTTTTTTCTTACAATTTTATTCAAGTAAAGGGTGAAAATATGTGAATGTATTTCCCGCTTCTCGCTCTCTGTTTTATTGTAAAATTTGAAAACCAGACCTTTTGGTAATCGATCCTTTGCATTTGTGAAGTTTATGTAATGAAGAGATATATAGTGTAGTTTTCTGAAATACTATCGGAAACCTTTAAGCCACTAAAATATAGTGGTATTTTTTTGATTTGGGAGAACATGCAGAATACTATGTTGGTGGCAATAATATTCTAGAAGCTTTTTCTAATTATGTTTCTTACAAACTCAAATATTTTGGTATTTCCTAGTATCCTTTTTTCCAATTGAAAATATTTTTTTATACGTAGGAACTAACGTTAATTGTGTCTTATCTCGTTATCACTTCGCAAAAGCCTTGGTTGGCACATTTGGTTCACTGTGTTTGTCCATTTCTTTGTGAGATTCTTCCTTTTTCCTTTCCATCTCCTCTAAGACCTTTTGGATTACTATTATTATTATTAGCGCCTTTATTTATTTCTCAGTTCACAGAACCAACCACATGTTCGGGCGTCGGGTCTTCGCCAGCGCCCCGCTCCCCCGCCGGCTGTACGCCAGGCTGCACATCCAATCCAGCGCCCAGGCCGCGCGCCGCCTGCCCTCCCTCACCCCCCTGACCGCGCTGGAGGGAAAAAAAACGAATGTTTTGAATGCTCTATCTCTCGCCAGCGCTCGGGATGGCGCGGTCGGGGCAAATTCGGTTTCTTCCCTAGCAAAGATGGAAGAGCTCTTTGCGGTCTGGGCTCCGCTAGGGAACGCCACTGCGTTGGCGTTTATGCAAATGAGTGGGAAGGGCTTAATAAGTTGGTGCATGCCATTAATGAATCTTTCCTTTCGTTTTATTGAGACCGCACAGAAAAGAATATGACGAGATCTATTTCCGTTTCTGTGCGGATGCTGTTAGAGGGCAATCTAGGCTTGCGCGAGTGGGCGTGGATAGATCTCATAACGCTTCTCTGAAGAAAGTGTTTACGAAGAATAATCTAACAGGCTCTAGTGCTTTGTCTTTATTGCCCTTTGTCTGTGAGGAGGGGGAGGCGAAACATAAAGAAGGCAAAATAAGTAAAATTCGTACTGTATCGTCTAATGCCTTGCGCCATTGAACAATTTATTTATATTGATATCATTTTATTCTGGGGGTTGTGCGTGTTACAATAGGACAACGGCGGAAACTTGATATTTTGAAATGATAAGAATCATGTGGAAAAAATGATTCATAAAACGCGTTGTCTTCACATAAGAAATTGCGAATCATAAGTTGAAGGATACGCTCCTTCCTTATATCAATAATTTTCTACAATAAAAAATTATCGAATTTTTACAATGAATACCAACATTACATTGCATTTTTTTATGGAATTATTTTCGAGAAGGGGTAATAATAGTATTAGTGCGTGACAATCCAACAAACAATCTGCAACCACTACTTCTCTTCCCCCCCCCCTCCATGATCTGTACTCGGTTGCACTTGATATTGTATCTCAAACCTACGATATCCATAGATTGTCCTTCTCACCACTCTCAGCCACCCACTTCCCAGATCGCTCAAACGCGCCTTTCTTTATGATCCGGCGCGTGCTACTCGGTTCGCGAAAGGCCCTCCCCCCCTCCACGGCCACCATTCACACCCACAGCCACAGCCACAGCCACTCCCACGGCCACGGCCACGGCCGCGTGGAGCCTGAGATCATCGGCCGCAGCCATCGCCAATGCCAGATCGCGACGGCGGTAGGCGGGGCCACGAACGTCTTCTTTAGCACGACGAAGCTGTGGCTGGGGGCCGCCGGCGGCTCCGTCGCCCTCGTCGCGGACGGCTTCCACGCCCTGACGGACATCCTCGCCGACGTCGTTTCCTTCACGGCGCTCTCCCTCTCCCGCGCGAGGCTGCCGCGCTGTCGCTTTCCCTTCGGGATCGGCCGGCTGGAGACCTGCGGGGCGGTCTTCGTCTCCGCGAT